AAGTGGTTGGGACCAATTGATGCATCTTAGATGGCCACTTGCAAGCTTTTAAGACCCCAGACGCCACTCATCAAAGTAGGATGCAGAACATTTTCTTAATAAGCTTTGTTATGCCAATTGACCTAGATGTCCCCTGAAAGCAAGGTCCCTAGACCCCCTACCCTTGCTACTCTGTCTCTCAAAGTATTTGACTGTATTCAGGAAACTTCTTAGCTTCAGTTTAGTCCACTTGTGCTGACCTCCCCTGTAGCGTGTGCTGTCCTTCCCTTCGCCTAGTTAAACATTTTCTTACTGCACTATTTAAAAGACTTAAAAGGAATAAAAGTAATGCATTGTGCATACGTGAGGTATTACTCCCTTGCTTGCTATTGTTATTTTTGCTGTTATTGCTATTGTTCACGGTTTTGTTTGTTTTGTTTTGCTTTCTTGTTGACCTCAGGAACAGAAATGTTACCTTTGCTTCTCATTTTATACTCAATTAACATCATCTGTCAGTTTAAGTTCTTTGCTTGTTTGTTTTATTTTCCTTTATTATATTTAAGTATTGTATGTTTTTTCATTCTGGTCAATTCTCATTACAAAACGTCTTTCTCACCTTCATACATATTCTGCTGTGCTTGACACGTGCTCTACCACATGAAAATACCCTTTAAAGTGTGATATTTTGTTTGTAATATTTTACTATAAATGTATATTTATTGTGCTATAAATCTTTTTGCTGCATTTTGTCATTGTAAACATTTGTAATGTATCCATTTGTGACTTTTTTTGTTTATATGTCCTATATAATAGTATGTATATATATATATTTTTTCACTTTTCTTTAATGGAAGAAACTCTGTTGGTGCAATGTTCAAACACTCACCATTAACTGAAAGATTGGCAGTGTGAACCATCAAGCTGTTCCGGGAAAAAAGACCTGGCCGTCTGCACACATAAAGATTACAGCATAGGCAACACTCTAGGGCAGTTCTGCTCTGTCCTATAGGTTGCAGTGTGTTGCAATTGACTTGAAGGCACCTAACAAAACAAAAATTCTTTAATGGTAGATATTTTGTTGTCTCCAACAGAACATTGTTTGACTTTCTTGCTTTGGATGTGTTATCCGGAAAGACCAGTTGCTGGAGGAGAACATCATGGTTATTTGGTGACACAGATGATGAACAAGAATGAGAGAAGCCCTCCATGAGATGGATTGATACAGTGGCTGCAGCAATGGACTCAAACATACCAGTGATTGTGGGGATAGCGTAGAGCCAGGCAATGCTTTGTTTTTCTATGTACTATGTAGGGCATGGTAAGTTTTCTGGAGACAGTAACAACCTATGAGACAAAATTATGCAATTAGAAAACAGTATCAACCAGGTAGGGAAAAAATGTAAAAATCTGGACCCGTCTATGGCTCAATAAATTTATCTTAACTGATATATTCACTGATACAGACAAAATGGGTTGATTTAGATAAAACCAGATACCAAGTTGATCCTGTTGAATATAACTTTATTTTGTTACTGTCATATTACTATTACAGTATAATAACAATACTAGCAAAGTAAATAGACTCTGAGGACTCAAATATGGAAGTAAAGTCACTGATGATGAAAGAGAGGGATTTCAAGGTTTAGAAAGCAGACATTTCAGCAAATTCAGATGACTGAGTACTTCAAATCATTTCACTGCACTGGGCCTTCTTAGAATTAGCCATGCCAGGGCAGAGTATGACCACTAAAACAGAAGGTTTGCACCAGCTTGTGTGCATGAGCACATGTGCACACACACACACACACACACACACCACTTTCTACAAATTTTTTTCTACTAGATGAGGAAAATACCTGTTACTTGGAATTCTTCCTGTATCTACTACTCTTTCCCAGTCCCACTCAGCTTATTCTTTTATTTTTTAATTTCTAAATTTTTAATTTATTTTTAAATTTTTTAACTTTTTAAAAAATCTGTCACTCCCCAGCACTTTCTAATATACCATAACATTTATTATTATCCTATAATGCATCTCTCCTGCTCAAGGAAGACAATATTTTTTACTTTTTTTATTTATCCATTTATATCTCTTAGTAGAGTGACTGGTAGAACGCACTATAGAAATACGTATTATCTGTGCATTTGTGTTTGCTGTCACCTCTGGAGGCACACAGATAAATGTTTAAAGCCCATAATGTGATTTATGTGAATGATATAGTGAACTTTGGGAAAATACACTGCATAATTGTCCCAAAGTCCTATGTAAGGCATATTTCACATCTTTATTCCTCAAACTATAGATCAAAGGATTCAACATGGGAATAACCAGGGTGTAAAATATGGAAGCCACTTTATCAGTGTCAGAGGAGTGGCTGGACTTGGGCTGCATGTACATAAAGATTAAAGTCCCATAGAACAGTACTACCACCGTCAGGTGGGATCCACAGGTGGAGAAGGCCTTGTGCCTGCCCTCAGCTGAGTTCATCCTGAGAATGGCTATAAGAACGAGCAGGTAAGAAACAAGAACTATTAGGAGGGATGAAATAAAATTAAAAGCTGCTAAGATGAAAATGATCAATTCCATTTCATAAGTGTTTGAACAGACCAAGGATAACAAGGCGAGAGTGTCACCGTAAAAATGAGTGATGACATTGTTGCCACAGAAGGATAAATTAAAAATCTTTATAGTGACTAGAAGAGAAACAAATGTGCTGTAGAGATAGAGGATTACCATCAGCACCCAACGTGTCCTTTGTGACATGACGACTGTATAGAAGAGAGGGTTACAGATGGCCACATAGCGGTCGTAGGACATTGCTGACACAATAAAAAGTTCGCTAGTTATGAACATAATAAAGAAAGCTAGCTGTGTAACACAAAAATAATAGGAGATTTTATTTTCATCCACAACAAAATTTACCAACATTTTGGGTCCCACAGCTGTTGAATAACTAAGATCAGTGATAGCCAGGTGTCTGAGAAAAAAGTACATAGGTGTTCGTAGCCTGGAGTCGGTCTTGGTGAGGATGATGATGCCCAAGTTGCCCGCCACTGAGATCATGTAGATAATGAGGAACAGCCCGAACAATGGCACCTGTAGCTTATGGCAGTCTGTGAGTCCCATCAGAATGAATTCATTCAGCACTGTTAGATTGTGTTTGTCCATCTTGGTCTACTAGGAAACCTATTCTGGATAGAGACATTGGCATTGTCAATAGCTTTTATGTAGTATCATCTGGTAGATTTTTAGTATACAAAGCCAGTATGAATAATATAAATCCAAATTTTCCCGTTATGATGATAGTAAGTTACCTGAAAGAAGTTTTCTTTCCATATGTATATGTAACTTCTTCTAGTGTAGCTTACCGTCTATGTGAGGGCCATGACGATGAGTAGGTTGAGTAGCATGTTATCCATGTAACAGACCCCAGTCCTTTACTACTCCATCCTTGACTCTGTGATAAAAATTGGACCATCAGTTTCCCAGTCTTTCAGATTATATATCTTCTACTTTTCTTAAAACATTTCAATACATGTTTAATTTAAGTTCACTTAAGACATGTCTACCCCTAGGGGCATTTTCATTAATTTGTTTGTAACAAATCAGATGTATTTTCTCATGGAAGATCCTAAGATAGTGAGAGGAAATTTTAGCAAATTGGGAGAAAGTGAGGTCACTGTCATTGATTTTATATAATGAAGTTTCATTAAAAAATTCCATTTGGATACAGAGATTCTCTAGTTTAAAGGAAAAATCAGTTAAAATCATCATATTACTCACAAAAATAGAGAAAACATACACTGAAGAGATTTATATGGATTCCTGGTTTTTATGTTAAATACTTCTGTGCATTAAAGACCCAAGATGCTTCTATGTACTATTATATATTCATAATATAGATAGAAGTGTATTTAAAGATTAAAATATACACACATATCCCTAATAAACCACAGATTAAAAAAAAAAAAAAACCCAGAGGATGAGGATGGCAGTTTATGTAAAGTAAAAGAAATAGTGGTTTGAAATGATACTACTTAGAATGAAAATAGCAGTACCAGCATCTTCTGAGTCAGGAGTAATCGAGAAATAGAAAAATATAATGTTATCATATTAAATTATGAAATGGTTATAAGGGAAATACACTATCTCATATAAGACATTGCTTATAAGGTTGTGACCTTCTGATACCCTACCTCATACCTACAGACACATTGCCTATGTCAGAAATACTGAATTGGGTATCAGTAGATATTACAATTAGGAAATCAACTACCTTCAATGAACTCAATAAAAGGAATATAAATCTTGTTTAGTTGCGATGATGAAAGACTGAAGAACACCAGTACTTTCTTTGATTTTCTTATAAGGTAAGGGAAGATAAAAGGACTTCCTCTCATCAATGCTGGAGTTCTATGAAGAACACCAAATTATTTTTCATAGTTTACTATGTCTGTTTAGTATCCAATTCTCATTTTACAAAGCTATACTCTTTGAAAAAATTATATCTTCTTCCTGCCAGACTCCACCGGAAATTGAAGAATTTGGTATGTGTTATACTATCATTATAAAACTGAGTACTTAGAAGTTTCCTAAACTCCAAAAATTGCTTTTCACATCTCAACATGAGGTGTGAGATGGAAATTTATTTATTCATTAAGAGATTAGTAAAAATGTGCATTTATATAGTTATTTAAATATACATTAAACATTAAATTATATTTGAGAGGGACATAAAAACAGCCTAGAGCCACTATATAACTAAGGATTTTGAAGGACATCAACATTGGACACTGAATATCTACAGTTTCCTAATTCTGCTACAGTATTTTTTAATGCTTTATATACTTCCCTTACTTTCATATTTGAGCTCTAATCACATAAGTAGCCCAGCTTGGTGGTGCAAACGATTCAACACTCAGCTACTAACTGAAAGGTTAGTGGTTCGAGTCCAATGAGAGGCTCACTGAAAGAAAGAAAGATATACTTGTGAAAGCTCACAGCCATTAAAAACCCTATGGAGCACAGTTCTCTGACACTCAGGGGGCAGGTATGAGTCAGAACTGACTCAGGAGAACTGGTTCTCTTTTTTGTTATTTGTTTTTCATTCATATAATAATTTATATGAAGTAAAAATATTATTTAGCCATATAATGATGTTTCAAATATGCTTACAGGCATTTAGCCTCTGAAACAAAGTGAAAATATTTGAAAAAAAAATAATATGAAGAAAAAAGGGTGAGGGATCCTAGTCTCAGGCACTATTGAAAAGTAGAATGCACACAGAACTGAATCTGACACCCTGATATTTTGCAGTGAATATGCTATTGAATAAAGGCGGGAGCCTGCAAATGCCACGGAAACATTCTGGATATTGGCGAAATATGGAAGAAGTCTCTCTTTTTACCTGTAATGAAGCCTTTGTCATGACTCCCCCATGTGCTTCTAACATGGCATGGTGAGACACAATTTAAAGATTTTTTTTCACCCTTGGAGAGTCTCCCTGAGGAGATGCCAAGCAATCTGTTTATTGTCCTTGAAGCATTTGAAAGCTTAACAAAATATCTGGGGGGTGTCTGTTAATTGTCCAGGACAATTTGTATGTACCAGTGAGCACATTTTTCTTCATACAGTGTTTATGCATGTCTGTATTTATCTATTTCATACATTCTTACATTTTACTCTTTGTTAACTTTTCTTTTTTACCACACAGGGATATGGATTAAAATATTGTATCTATAAAACAGAACCATCGATATTCCCTTTTCTACAGTGGTTTCTTCAGATGGATGACAAAATGAAGACGTGATTACTTTCTTATTGCATTATTTAAAAGACTTCAATAGTGTAAAAGAAATGCATTGTGCGTATGTGAGGTATCACTTCCTTGTTTGCTGTTATTGTTGCTGTTATTGCTATTGTTCAGTTGTTTTGTTTGTTTTTGGTCTTTTTGACCTCAGGAACAGAAATGATTTCCTCCTCCTCATTTCAGACTCAGTTGTCATCATCTGTATGTTTAGGTTTTTTGCTTGTTTGTTTTATTTTCCTTTATTATATTTCAATATTGTATGTTTTCCATTCTGTCTAATCCTCATTCCAAAACATTTTTCTCACCTTCGTACATAATTCAGCTGTGCTTGACCTAAGTTCTACTATATAAATATATTCTTGAAAAATGTGATATTTTGTGTGCAATATTTTACTATGAATACATATTTATTGTGCTATAAATCTTTTTCCTGCATTTTGTCATTGTAAATACTTGCAATATATCCTTTAGGGATTTTTTTTCTTTTTTTTGGCTTATTTGTTCTATATAATGGTATGGGTGTATGTATATATATGCATAATTTTTTTTTCACTTGTCTTTTCTTTAATGGAAGGAACCCTGTTAGTGCAATGTTCAAACACTCACTGCTAACTGAAAAGTTGGTAGTTTGAGCCCCCAAGCCATTCTCGGAAGAAAAGAGCTGGCCATCTGCACCCATAAAGATTACAACCTAGACAACCCTATGGGGCATTTCTACTCAATCCTATAGGTTGCTGTAAGTCAGAGTCGACTTGATGGCACTTAACAAAGCAAAAATTATTAAACGGTAGATATTTTGTTGTCTCCAACAGAACATTGTCTGATTTTCTTGCTTTGGATGTGTCAGCAGGAAAACAAGTTGCTGGAGGAGAATATCGTATTTGGTGAAGTAGAGGGCCAAGGAGAATGAGGGAAGTTCTCAATGAAATGGACTGACACAGTGGCTACAGCAATGTACTCAAACATACCGATGATTGTAAGGATAGCACAGGGCCAGGCAATGTTTTGTTCTGTTTTAGATAAGGTTGCAATGAATTGGAGCCACTCAAAGTCAGCTAACAACAGCAACAGCATTTTGAGATGGATTTTTTTCACTTTACCTGATTCTATTGAGGTCCATCCATGCTGTTGTGGGCATCAATAATTTGTTCCTTTTTATTGCTGAGTATTATTTTGTGTGTAGATTTACTACAGATTGATTACCCATTCACCTATAAAAGGACATTTTGGGTTGTTACTACTTTTTAGCTATTATAAATAATGTTTCTATGAACATACGTGTATGGGGTATTGTATGAACATAAGTTTTCATTTCTTTGGAATAAATGTCTAAGTGTGGGTTGTTTTAATTTTGACAAAGTCCAGCATTATCAATTTGTACTTTTTATCCATATATTTGCATCTACCAATAATTTAGTAGTTTTCATTACTGAGTGATGTTCACTTTCTTGGATATACCACCACAATTTATTTATTTTTTCTCAAGTAGATGAACATTCGGGTTGATTCTAGTTTTTGAGTATTCCAATAAAGTTGTTATGGATATTTGTATACATGGATTTATAAGGAAAAATGCTGTCATTTCTCTTGGATAGATATGAGCAAAATGGCTAAATTTTATGGTAAAACTATGTTCAGCTTTGTAAGACCCTGATACTTAAAACAAATTATTTTTAAAGGTATTTACACCTTTTTAATTTTCCACTAGCAGTTTATGAATGTTCCGGTTCCTTCACATACTTACCAAGCACCTGATATTCTAACAGATGTATAGAGTTATGTCATTAATGTTTTAACTTGAAATTCACTAATTAATAATGATGCTGAGCATTTTTTATGTGCTTATTTGCCAGCTGAACATGTTCTTTGGAAAAATTGTTATTTTTTTACCATATTTGTGGACTGTTTCTTTTCTTTTTTTTTTTTTTGAGTTTGGAAACCTCTATCTATATTATGGACACAAGTCATTTATGAAATATATTGTTGGAAAATCTTATCTCCCAGAATATAACTTGCTTTTATACAAGGGTCTTGTAAAGAGTAGAAGTTTTAAAATTTCCAAATATATCTATAGAGTCAATGCAAGCCCACTTAAAATCCAAATAGGCTTTTTTTTCTTTTTTCTTTTTTTAAATAAACTAACAAGCTGAATGTAAATTCACAAATAAATGCTAAGTTTACTTTTTAATTCTACAGTTTTATTGTAGGTTCTATTAGATTTTGTACATAAAAAATCATGTCGTCTATTGATTAAAAGAAGTTTCTCTTCTTTCTTTCTGATCTGGATGCATTTAGTGTATTTTATTTATTTTTATTGCCTTATTGTGTTGTCTGGAACATCCACTAAAATATCGAGTAG